AATCTTGAACAAAAGCTCATCTTTCAAACCGGCAGTCTAAATCCCACAGGGATCAACGAACGCTTTTCATTCCACTAATTTATTCTTGTTTTTCTCGTTGCCATGTTCCCACCAGTAACGTAGCTCCATTTTCTGCCTTTAAAAGCACACACAATCCACAATTCCTCCATTCGCTCCGACGAAGGGCTAACGCTCGAAACGTCAGCTTTTGTAATCGTTACGGTGGCCAATTTACCATTTCAACTTTGCTGATATATCCAAATTATTTCCTTGCAACTAAGTCTTAACTCTCGCCATGGGCCACGCTCTAAAAGAGCTCAGATGCTAAAGGAAACTTTGTCTTTAGGCAACTTGTTCCTCTTTTCCTGTTTGGAAGCTTTTGAGAGCCAGGCAAATTCTGATTCTATTAGGAGAACAGCTTTGTTACACTCTCAAGACATGGGACTAAATTCTCCAGGCTGACAGCATATATTTATTCATAGACTGGTCCATTTGGTGTAAAACTATGATTAGATATTTGTTTGCTGCCCTTATCTGTTCAAAGAAGTGAACTATTTTTCCATGAGTGAAGTTCAAGGAAAATTTGAGCTTTGAGGTGACAGAGAATGTCCAAGGACTAAGAGACAGGCATATTTTCATGCCAAATGGAGGCTACTGTATCCTTCAAATAGTTTTGAAATGCTTCAAATGAAATGTTTACCAGCAGCTTTCCTTTTTTATATTACTACAAGGGATGTTCACTCTTAGCGTTGTCAGGTAACACTTTAAGAACAAACATATATGTACCTGTTACTATCACTACGGGAAAATGCTCTCTCTTCTTAAATTACCTTCTAAACTAAGAATTTTATCTCATTAGACATAAAATTTGGAAAATCGTGGAATATCGTTAGGGAATGTTATCAGTTATTCCCCAGCACTAAGTCACGTGACATTTTCACACTAATTTTGTGAGCAAAAAATATTTGCTGCATTGTAATGGTTACTAGTCTAAATATGTCCATCACTCTCCACAAGAACTTTTCACAGTAATTGCAATTCAACCATCAAAATAAGTATCAAATAATTATATCATAAATAGCTCCTTTCTAACAATCTGCCTTTCGTTTATTTCCGGTTCAGACCAGCCAGAAAAAGATTTAGATAATCCCATGCTTACTGACTGATAACTATCGCACCTTTCAGGAGTGCTAACGACAACACACTTCGAGCACCTTCCACGCAGTTCTTCTGGGTGAGTTTTCTGTTGTCAAAAGAAAGATTAGTCCCCTAATTTCAGAATGACAATATCAAATGAGGCAATTATTGAAGTAATGGATGAAATATTCAATGACTGTAAAGCAGACAACAGAAATCTGGTCCTTCATTCCAAAAGAAGCAGTTAGTGTTCACCATTCACACTGAACTCGTCCAATGTTCAATGGTTTGATACAAATCACAAGCTCGGCTTAAGTAGGGTAACAAGAACAGCAGTGTAGTTGGATATCTACAGTAATATTGCATTGTATTGTTAAAATTCCTCGAATTGAATGAATATTTTATTCCTCATGCGCCAACTCCTGAGTTTGACCAAATGCAAAATGGAACGGTCAGTGAATTGCTTCAATACTCCCCATAAGCTGTGTTAACTCGCTAACCAGTATAGTACACTCAAGAACGCCTTACCTTTCACACACTCAAACAGACAGCTTTATTTCCTGCGAAAATGAGAGGCAGACAACAGAAACATAACGTTCTGGTAAAGGATCGATGAGCTCATTCATTCATTCAAAACAAGCTCAAATTTTAAAATCCTAATCTTCCCTCCGCTGCACACTAGTAGCTGTTGTTATCGCGGGAAAGGTCCACAGTGAGAAGTTGTGACGTCCACCGATGAAAAATGATTCTAGATGCTATGATCTACTGTGGAAGAGCCAACTCGCAGTTTTGCAAATGTTTTTCGTAAGGGGGAATATGTTATTCAGCGCGATGCTGCGCGTGTGTCATGTGATAATGCGTCAACGCTGACAACGCAGTGAATTCAAGGTACACTCAACCGTATTCAGAAATGACCTTTTTCTGTTTATTGACTCTTTCCCGAGAGAGTCAATGTTATTATTTAAATCTTGAATATCTTATTTAACCGTGGACCGCATCAGCTTAATCAACGTGAAGATTCCTCTCCGATACGAAGTCCAAAATTGCAGTCGTCTTTTCATCTCGTGCAGAAATTTGACCTTCGTGATGGTTTATTTAAAACAGTAGATGACCTCCTAGCAAATCCAAGCTGCCTTGGGGACAGAGGAAATTTCAAAATTGGTCGTCATATGAGGGCTACCTATGGGGGGAGATGGCAATTTCCATAACTATGACACCCATGTGTGATAAAATGTTATCGTTTGCCGCACGATATGGTAAGTTCCGGTGTGGCCTTGACTACATCCATCATAGATCGGCAAGGGGTCTCCATTATCTCGACCACTAGGCTGGACCGCTTTCATATTTG